ACACCCACTGCCCTGGAATTGATTCCACTCACAGCACCCCTAGAGGACAAGAGTGGAACTGCCCCACAGTGTTTCCAAGGCTGTCCGTTTTAACGAAAGCTGAGTGCCTCACGCCTTCTGTGGTGGAGCAGCAGCAGGTGGGTTTGGTATTCCTGGCCAAGCCCTTGGTGCCAGGGGACCTGCCCATTGGTGACTGCAGGTATAAGAGGCGGGTCACAGAGTGCTGTCCTGAGAGAGGAGGCAGAGGAACTGGCCTGCATCCTGGAGCTGTGTGGAAGCCGTGTGTCCCTGCAGATCTGGGGCCACCAGCCTATGCCCTGAGCACAGGGAAACTTTGAGGGTTGGCTCTGGTGGGAATGGACTGGAATAAAAGAAGTGATTGAGAGATGGGGAGACCTAAAGCAGACCTGTGGTGGAGAAAAGCAAAGTTCTCGAGGTCCCAGGAGGTGGACAGGCAGCATGGGCCCTCCTGGGGTGACAGAGGAGGCCAGGATCCTGCCCCACTTCCGGCTGTGACGTCAGGGGCTGGCGGGCTCGTTTATTGTGAGGCTGGCGCAGGACTGGGCAGTGTTTCGTTCCTGCATGCATGCATTTGGTCGCTATGAGTTGCAAGTGACTCACGGCACCTAGCACCACCACCACCACTTTGGGGGAAGGAGGATGAGTTCAGCTCTGGGCACGTTGGGAGTTTGGGGTGTCTGTGGCATTGCCAAGTGGAGTGGAGGGTCCAGCAGCCGTTGGCTGTGTGGAGGTGACCTCATGGAGAGGTTGGGCTAAACGTCTCTTTCCAGGTGGCAGAGGGGGTGGGGGTGCCAAGCAGGAGAGCAGTGCAATGTCCAATGGCACAGAGATGTCCAGGGGACAGGGACCACAGGGAGGCCACTGGCTGTAACAGCCAGAAAGCTGGTGGCTGGGCCCAGAGCAGTTACCCAGGTGGGGAGGGGACCTGGACAGCAGGGGCTGAGGGGGAGTTTGTCTGACAGAGACAGGGAGAGAGAGAGAACGTGGGGTGACGAGAGGGTCACGTGTGAAGAACAGACACTCACTCTGTTCCTCTCTTTGTCTCCCCCTCCCTCCCTCTCCCCCACCCCCTTTCGGTCCTTCCTCTTTGTTTCTGGGACAGGCTCATCCAGCGTCCGGCAGGGCTGGGGTAGGTCCCTGTGCGTCCGAGCTACCTGCACGGTGGAGTGAAATGGGCCCTTTGAACAGCGGAATAGAATAGGCCGTGTGGTCTGATGCACACACAGGGCCTGGGAAAACGCACAAGGAATCATTAAGAGGGACCGTCCCCGGGGCTGGTGACTGGGCCTTAGGGGTGGGGAGAGGGCTGGGTCTTTCATTGACTCTCCTTCCCCACTTTGACCCTCCACAAGAGTGTTGTCCTGGTTCCCCAGTGCCGCCCTGACAGGAATATACCACACATGGGACGGCCTTAACAAACAGGAGTTTATTCTTACAATTTGGAGGCTTTAAGTCCAAGTTCAAAGTGCCAGGCTCTAG